TCAAGAGCCCTTGGGCCCTGAACAGCCAACAGTGATACCCAGGTAGTATGTGATGGGCCTGGAGTAAGGCTCTGAGACATGCTGGCTTCAGGGGATACCCAGCACATTCCCAGCTATGGTGGCTGTGGTGAGAGACTTCTTCTACTTAAGAAAAGTGGAGGGAAAGGTAAAAGGGACTTTGTCTTGCAACTTAGGTGCCTGCCTGGCCACCATGGGGTAGAGAGCACCAAATGGCCTCTTATGGCCACTGATTTTAGGCCTTAGCTCTTAAACAGCATTTCTGGACCTGCCCTGGGCCACAGGGGAGCCCACTGCCCTGAAGGGTGAGTCCCAGGCCTGGAAGCATTCACCACAAGTGACTTAAGAGCCCTTGAGCCCTAAGTAAACATCAACAGTAGCCTGGCAGCACTCCCTGTGGGCCTGTGGTGGTGGCCACAGAGTGAGGCTCCTCTGCCTGTGGAAAGGGAAAGGGAAGGACTTTGTCTCATGGTTTCAGTGTCAGCTCAGCCGCCTTAGAATAAAGCACCAGGTAAATTTCTAAGGTTTTTGACTCCAGTCCCTGGCTCCCAGACAGCATCTCTGGACCCATCAGGGCCTGAGGGAACTCATTGCCCTGTAGAGAAGTCTACCTGCTGACTGTAGAGCCCCAGAGCCTCGAGTGAACATAGGCGATAGCCAGGTAGTATTGACAGTGGGCTTTGAGTGAGACCCAGTGCTTTGCTGGCTTTAGGTCTGACCCAGTGCAGTCCCAGTGGTGGTGGCCACAGGGATATTGTGTCAGCTCACCCTTAGCTCCAAGTGGCCCATCAGAGAGAGAGAGAGAGAGAGAGAGAGAGAGGCAGAGACAGAGAGGCAGAGACAGAGACTGTTTTTTGGAGAGAAATTACAGGTAGAGAATAAGAGTCTCTACTGGCTGGTAGCTCAGAAAATTCCTCCAGATCTTGTCCGAGACCACCAAGGCAGTTCCTCTATGAGTCTGCCAGAACCGTAGCATAACTGGGCTTGGAGTGTCCCCTAAGAAAGATACAGTTTAGATCACAACACCCACATCCCTTCAAATACCTGGAAAGCCTTCCCAACGGTGGGTACAAACAAGTCCAGGCTGAGAAGATGGTGGCAGCTTGAAATCAGCCATGGAATATTTGAACCATGGAAAATGGCAAACACTACAGAACAGACTCTGTTCTTTCCCCGACAGAGAGCCCCTTGTGTAACAACCGCACACCGCTGCCCCATCCCTGAGCGGAGCGCTGTGTGTTGCAGCAGAGTGGGGGTGGGTGTCTTCTCCCTTGGGGTACAGAATACACATTTTTTTCCTCAGCACATGGATCATTCTCAAGGATAGACCATATCTTAGGTCACATGACACATCTTAAAATGTTAGAAAAAAATGAAATAATTTCAAACATCTTCTCTGATCACAATGGAGTAAAACTAGAAGTTAGTAATAAGAGAAATGTTGAAAACTATACAAACACATGGAGATTAAATAATATGCTCTGGAATGACCAGTGGGTCAGTGAAGAAATTAAGAAGGAAATTGAAACATTTCTTAAATTATAATGGAAACACAACACGCCAGAATGTACGGGATATGACAAAAGCAGTGCTAAGAGGGAACTTTATGGCTATAAACATCTATTTTTAAAAAGTAGAAAAGCATCGAATAAACAACCTAACAATGCATCTTAAAGAAATAGAAAAGCAAGAGCAAACCAAACCCAAAATTAGTAGAAGAAAAGAAATAGTAAAGATCAGAGCAGAAATAAATGGAATTGAAATGAAGAAAACAATAAAAAGCATCAATGAAATGAAAAGTTGGTTTTTGGAAAAGATAAACAACTTTGACAAACTTTAAGCCTAATTAAGACTAAGGGCCGGGCGCGGTGGCTCAAGCCTGTAATCCCAGCACTTTGGGAGGCTGAGACGGGCGGATCACGAGGTCAGGAGATCGAGACCATCCTGGCT